CATCCAGGTCAGGCTTTAGTGACCGACGATGGAGTGTTCAGAGCAACTGGTGGGAGACACGCACGCACAGAAGGGTTCTCGAGTCCCCAGAGAGGGGACAGGGGCTCTCACAGCCGACACCAGTGTGCGAGCCTAGGCGACACCTCCGCGCGGCCACGCCGGCCATTGACTGTCTTCCCTTTATTGAAGTCTGGTCAGTTACAACGCGGTGTCAGTTCGTCTCCGGTGCATGGCGGCACGTTTCAGCCGCTCCTGCATGTGTTCCTGCTCATGCTCTTTTCCACCGCAGGTGACTGCAAGGTATTGAATATAGTTCCCTGTGCTGCGCAGAAGGAACTTGTGGTGTGTCTGTCTTATATATGTTAGTTGTGTCTGCAAATCTCAAACTCCCCATTTATCCCTCCCCACCCTCTTCCCCGCCAGCAACTGTACGTTTGTTTTCTGTGACTTACTTTGTAACTATACGCTGTGTCTCTTGATTGGCAGAAAAGACCAGGTGTTCCTTCCTTCCTTTCTTTTCTTTTCTTTTCTTTCTTTTCTTTTCTTTTCTTTCTCTTCTTTTCTTTCTTTTCCTTCCTTCCTTCCTCCCTCCCTCCCTCCCTCCCTCTTTCTTTCTTTCTTCTTTCCTTTCTTTCTTTCCTTTCTTTCTTTCTTTCTTTCTTTCTTTCTTTCTTTCTTTCTTTTTTCTTTTCTTTCTCTTCCTTCCTTCCTTTCTTCCTTCCTCCCTCCCTCTTTCTTTCTTTCTTTCTTTCTTTCTTTCTTTCTTTCTTTCTTTCTTTCTTTTCTTTTCTTTTCTTTCTTTTCTTTTCTTTCTTTTCCTTCTTCCTTTCTTCCTTCCTTCTTTCTTTTCCTTCTTCCTTCCTTCCTTCCTTTCTTTCTTGTTCATTTTCCTTCTGCTTCTTTCTCTGGGGAAGTTGGTGGCGCTCAGCTTTTAAGAAAAATGCGTTTAGCCCTCCTCAACCGCAGACAGTACAGAAACACATCATGTGGTCTGGAAACATTTCTTGCCAACGTGGTCCGGGTAGGAAGTGCTTCAGTGTTTACTGAAGGAGAAAGTGTCAGGCTCCAAGGAGCTTCACGTTACTGGATGTTGCTAAGTGAGGAAGCCTTTTCCTGGCCCTGTGGGTCTTTCTGGGGCAGGTCATTCTGAGGTTTTACAGAGGTTGGGCTGGATCAGGGTCAGCCTGCCAGACCGGACCACCGAGGGGCGCTCGGCTGCTGTGACGGAGCATCTGGGCTTTGCAGCAGGAGGGCCGCCGGCTATAGCTAACGTGGGACTTCCTCCCGGCCGGGCCTGGCCGCGCTGGGTGGTGTGCGGCTCCTGCTCCTGACCGCCTTCCCCCTCCGCTCATCACCCTGCAGGATGAGCCCAGCTCTGGGATGGACCCTTGCTCGAAGCGGTACCTGTGGAAAGCCATCGCCAAGGAGGTTCGGGAAGGCTGTGCGGTGGTGCTGACCTCTCACAGGTGGGCATCCCGGGGGCCGGGGAGCATCCAGGACCAGGCACGATGGTACCCACGTGACCCCATGGGGACGGCACGGATTAGGACGCAGACGCAGAGGGGGGTTGACCCAGGCTTCACCGCCAGCTGGTGGGGGCTGGAATTTGAAGCCCGTGGACCGGCACAGACCACACCCCTGTCTTTGCGTGTTATTTACCCCCGGTTCCTCTACTGAACTCTTATTGTTTATTTTTACGCTAATCTGAGTTCTTTATAGTAAGTACGTCAACCCTTACCCATTTTATTTTTTTTGCTGCAGTGTTTCAATGTTAGTGTGCTGTGCTTGGAGACACTTTCTGGAAGTTTGTGGTTTTGCACTGCCAAGCGTATCAGACTTTCCCTGTGGGAGCTTCTTCCGCGGCTGTTACGCTTAGAACGAACGTTCTGCCCTCGGGCACTTATGTCTTTAAAATAATATTATGTCTCATCTTGTTCCAGTGACCTGCCTTGTGAGTTCCTTAGCGTAGCGCCTCATTTAAATTATTTAAGCAAATATTAATATTTCCTGGAGCAAATCTCCTTCCTCTGCTCTTCCGGTCCCATCTTTTTCACTAACTAATGTTAAAGACATGCCGTATAATTATTTTCAGTTTTTCTTTTCATGGGGACTGATAAACTTAAAATTTTGACTGGCATTATACTGTGTTTTTAGAATTAACATTATACTTTTATATAATTATGATGTAAGTATAAATTGCAATCTTTATAACATGCTTTATGTCAATATAATATTAAATTGTATTACAAACTAAATTATAATTTCAAATTACAGTATGATTTACTATGATATGTTATATGCTATATTAAAATAGGACTTTTATTTGTGTCTTATGTACAATTAATATTTGTTGCATTTTGCATTTTTATTTATTAACTTTTACATTTATACTTACATGTCCGTATTATTCTAAGTAATTTTTATACGATCATTTCCCATTTAAAAATATTCTTTTCCTTTTTTTGACACATCTTTCCATCCATTCATGATTTCATTGAAGTTCATTAGTAAATTTTGCTTCTTTTTTTGTGTGTGTTTTTTGAGAGGGGTAATTAGGTTTATTTAATTTTTAAATGAGGTTTATTTATTTAATTTATTTAACAGAGGGACTGGGGACAGAACGCGGGTCCTCGTGCTTGCTAAGCACACGCTCCACCGCTGAGCTACACCCTCCCCCAAACCTGGTCTCTTTCCATAAAACTTTCACTTTTTGGGGTGAAGCTCACTCTTACCCATTCTGCGTTTTGGTGCCATCACTGGAAGGCTCCCTCCCTCACCTTTTACAGCTGTTCTGCCTGGTACGTGGACGTGCTCACCACGGAGATGGATCCCTGACGAAAGTCATGTCCATTCACAGCGGGCTCCTTGGCTGGCGTGAGGTTTCCTTGCCGTCCGGGGACGTTCTGTGCGTCGCTGGGCTCCCTGTTCCAGGGCAGCCCCGCACCTGGCACGCGGCTCACACGGGTCTCTTGTCTCCCCAGCATGGAGGAGTGTGAGGCGCTCTGCACCAGACTTGCTGTGATGGTCCGGGGCAGCTGCCGGTGCCTGGGCTCCCCTCAGCACATCAAGAACAGGTACTTCGCCCTTCCTCCCTGTCTCAGTGTTCACTGAGCATCCGCGGCGGGACGTGGGCGGGTGTCCCCGCAGGTGCTTTAGAGACACATCCGCTCCAGGCCGATGTAGGGGAGGGCACGGGGCAGGGGAGGGGGCCGTGCGGTCCCCACACTCGTCTCCCACGCCAGCCCCACGCTTTCCCCACAAGCTGTCACTGTGTCCTGCCCCCCCAGGGACGTGCACTGTCCTCCTGGTGACACTGGGAGGGCTGGGAATCTGATCCCAGAGTCAGGATGAAGGAAGGACAGACATGCCTCCTTGATGCAAAATACATCAGAGGACTGTAGCAACGTGTCCCCAAATGCTGAGTCCTAGAAAGCTCTGTGGTGACGTTGGGGGGTGATAGAGGGTCGCAGTGATTGCTCCTCATTTCAGCTCCTAAAGACCAAAGACTTCGCACACACGACCTCTTAGATTCCTTCCTGGTGAATCGTCTTTTCCCGCCTTTTCCATTTACCTTTTTGGAGTCGATGATTTTTTCTATCATCTTGAATGAGCATTTTTACATCCCTGTATAAATTTTTTATAAAAAAAATCCAGTGTAGCCTGAGCTATTCTCTGCATGTATAAGGCTTAACTGGTTTCTTTGTTCACATCATGGAGCTTCGAAGTCGCTGCGTTGCTGGCGCGTTGCAGGGTTTGTGGTTTTGCACTGAGCTCAGCTGTGGACACCATTTTTCCAACTTCATTTGCTCACTTTGTATCTCTGAGTCCCAGTCTGGTAATTCTCACGATATTTCAAACCCTCTGCCAACAAGAAGGATTATACTCAATGAAGGCTCAGATAATAGCATTTTTAAGTAATAAAGTCATTAAAAAATTAAGGTATGTACAATTTTTAGACATAATGCTATTGGACACTTAATAGAATACAGAATATTATGAACATAACTTTTATATGCACTGGGAGACCAAGGAATTTATGACTCCCTTCAGTATGTCCAAGATATACCTGGAACTTTTTTTTAAATTTGTTTAATCTGTTACTTTTGATTCAGAGTTAATTTATTCACATTGGTACCAAGTCCAGGCTTGTACCGATCACCACACGACAGGCTGATACACTGAGAGACGAGTCTCTGGGGCAGGGAAGAGTGACTTTATTCGTACAGAAATTCAGCAGATCAGGACGGCGGTGGGCGGTGGACCACTGTCTCAAGGAGCCACCTTCCTGGGGGCTTCTTTGATGCTAAAAGGGGACGAGGAAATTCAAACATATCCTGTTTCCGATCAGCCGCCAGAGGGACGTGTTAATTTGTCCTTTCCTGGGGGGCTGATCAGGATGATTCCTGGGAGCTAAACAAAGGGGTTTCAGCTAAACGCTCACTACCTGGGAGGCAGGTCTCCCAGAGACAGGACGTTATTTAATTTCAGCTTGTGAGCAGCGTCCCTTTCGTGATTAACTTGTAGCAAAAGCAGCAGATACAAAGGGGAAGGTAGAAGAAACAGACCCAACGCGGGGGCAGCGTTGTTCCTCCCTGCGACACCTCTCTTCGCTCTCATTTACTGTCCTTCTGAAGTTAGCCCTCACAAGGAAAGGTTTGTTGAACCGTCCGCTGTGTATTACGTGGAAGTAATTTCATTTTAGGGAGAAAACCATGACGAAGGTGAGGATGGAGGCGCCCCGCTGGGGTCAGGTGCCCGACGCCCCGCGGCTCGGTGGTGGGACGGGCGGCCTCAGGCTGCTCGCACCTGCCGGCCAGGCCCTCGGCGGGGAGACCTCCCGGAGGCCGGCGGGGCTCTGCTCGCCTCTAATGAGAGTCATCGGGAGAAAGACAATATTTCACACTCCCTAGCCTTTATGAAGGCTTCCATGAAGTTTTACAGCCGTTGCCTGATTGTCGGGTGATTTGTGCCTGGGTTCAGCGACGCAGGGCGGGGGGAGGCAGCCCCGGGCAGAGCTGCCCTCTCGCCGGTCTGGTCTGCGCGCCCAGCAGTCTCCTCTGAGGCTGCGGTCTGACAGCGGGTCACGTGGTTGAGGATGGCGCGGGAGTAAATAAGAATTATATCAAGCGAGAAATGGCTTGTGGGCTATTCGCTGACGTATTGCGATGTTTAATGCAACCTGGCTGCGGAGGAGGGGCTGGCTTCTTCCAGAGCAGAACCCCTGCCCTTCCGGGACCCACACTCCCCTCCCGAGTGGCCGGAAATCTCCCAGTCGCCCCAGTGGCAGAGCGTCCAAGGAACACAGTGTGTGTAAGTCGCCCAACAGCCTCGCTGCCTTTAATGCCGTCTCCTCGAAGGCTCTGCAGAGGTGACTGGGGCTGGGGGAGGCCACAGGGCCCCACTGCATGCTGCTCTTGAACACTGGGGGCCTGCCTGGTGGCCAGAGGGCACCAGTTTCCCCTCCAGCACGTGGCTTTGTCCCGGGCACAAACAGAGCTGCTCTGGGTGCTCTTGGCTAAGGGTGTTGGGGTCCTCTGGTCTTTCTCGCCTGGTCCAGAGGAACTCAGACGCAACCCACCCCACTCCCGCCCCCATGCTAGACCCACCCCACCCAGCTTACCTGCACACCATGTTCTCCCAGGAAGAGGCTGGGGCGGCTGGATGCACACAGGGGACGCGCAGAGCGCACATTGCATCCATTTAAAAAAGAATTTGTAAGGGAAAGGGTGTAGCTCAGGGGTAGAGCGCGTGCCTAGCACGCACGAGGTCCTGGGTTCCATCCCCAGCACCTCCACTAAATACGTAAATAAACCTGATTATCTCCCCCCGCAAAAAACCCCAAAATAATAAAAAGGAATTTGTAAAGTTGGCCTTTTCCTATAAGAAACTCACTACACTCCACACATTGAGGTAATATTTTTTTCCATGTATTTCCATATGTTTCCGTAATATTGAGATAAAGAACGGAAGGTTGATGGTGAGATGGACGGGCTTCTCAGCCGGGACGTCGGCGGCGCCGGTGCCCGTTTCTGCCGTGATGGGGGGCGTTGATGCACTCGTGATGCAGGGCTGAGGACGTGCGGGAAGAGCGAGGAGAGGATGAGGAAGGGCGAGCGGGCGTGAGGCGGGGATGGGGGGAGTCTCTGAGGAGGTGGCTCAGGAGAAGGCGAGGTCTGGGAGCGCTGCTCCTGAGGTTGGGTGGGGACGTGAGCTTGAGGGTCCCCTGTGGAGACGTCAAGGGTCCTGCCCTGGGCATCTGAGACATCTGTCTAAAGGGGGAGCTGGTTCCACAGCTGCAAAACCCCACGGAAGTGAGACGCCGGGGCGGGTCCTCAGGAGCCCCCCCAGCCACGAGGGCAGGTGCAGGAGGCGCCCACGGGGAGCGGCCGCGGCGGGGATGAGCCTTGGTGCGGCTTCTGCATCCCAGGGCCGATGCTGACGGTGCCAGCAGTTAGACGCCCACACACCTCGGGGGGCTTCCTGCAGGGGCTGTCGTGACAGCAGGCACGGGGGGCTCACGCCTGGCGGGCCAGCTCGCAGGGCACAAGATGGGGGAAGGGTGCAGGGATGGGAAAAACCAGGGGCCACAGAAACAGAAAGAGAAGGAAGGAATGAAAGAGGGGGCGACTGACAGGAGGAAGAAAGGACAGCTCTCCATGCCAGCTTTGCCCGGCCGGCCCTGGGTCACCCTGCACAGCGGCCACAGAGCCAGGGCGCCGCCCGCGGCTTCCCTTTGCGCCCTCCTCCCTCTCAGCAGGAGGGGTCTCCGTGGCCCTGGATGACCTCCCTTCGGGCTCAAGAAATTTGGGAACACGGCCCTCCCCGTTTCTGGCAAAGGAAAGCCGCCTTTTCTGAATTTGGCAGAGGGTGAACGTAGCCTGTGATCGCAGAGCGCCCCTCCGCGGCGGTCCGGCCCCTTTCCGGGGGTCGCTCCTCTTTCCCTTCCCCTGTGCCTGTCACCTGCAGAGCAGCCCCTTCTGTGACGCGCCCCAGGTCTCCTGTGTCCCCTGGTGACCATTTCTCACGTGTGTTCTTGTCCATCCCGGGCCAAGTTCCCTGTGGAGATCCACTGGCGTGCTGGGTGATGACATTAAGAGATGACCCCCGTCTGGTGCGTCCCGTTTGCCAGTTCTGAGTGCCTCGTGCGTGTGAGCTTGCTCATTCCTCGTGACAGCCAACGAAGTAGCCACAGTTGTTACCCCTCTTTTACAGGTCGTGACAAGTCACAGAAGGGCTGTGTGCCTCTCCAGGGCCATTGACTAGTGAGTGGGAGGAGTGGGAGTCGAACCCAAGGGCTCTGGTCCCACTTGGCTCACATTCTCACATTCTCACGACTGTTCCCGTTCAGCCAATGAGGAACATGAGCTGGTGGTGGGATGCAAATGCAGCCGGTCTGACTCCTGCACCCTCAGGTCGCATCATGGCGCCTCCTGACTCCCTCCTCTGCAGCGCGTCCCAGGGCTGGACCACGTGCCCGGATGCAGGCTCCCGCCGCATCGTCACCAGCGGCTCTCTCGCTGACCCTCCCCTGGGCAGTGTTTCTACACGGTCTTCCTTTTCACCGAGACCTTGACACCCGACTCATTTCCCGTCTAATTTCTGGTTTCCTGAGCTGAGAGATGCCGCCCGTCCGCTAACCCCTCAATGGGGTCTCACAACATATTTTCTTTATTCATCAGTCTTTCCGCGCTTTGTTCCTGCTTTTGAAAAAGACATTTGCTTCTTTGTCAAGAGTCTTTCTTCCACCTGCTTGATACTACCTGATCTTCCCTCCTGAGACCTTCATCTGGTGGTTTTGGTTTTCCTCTTCTTTGTATCCATTATGAGATGTATTTCTTCTTTGGTAACAGAACATCAGACACGTTGGTTGAAGCACGTCCATTAAGCACATTTATCTTCATGTGCAATAAAAATCCAGAAGTAACTGGTTGTTGGCACACGTCTTTATAGTTTGCTTGGCCCCAAAGTGGCTGCTGCAGCTCCACCCATCACATCCAAGTTCTGGACAGCCAGCAAGAGGAAGGAGGGAAAGGAAAAAGGCAAAAAGAATGCCGCTGTCCCCTCTTAAACCGGCTCTCTGAAGGCCCCATCCAGTAACTGGGACCTATGTTTTATTGGTCATTCTGGCCACGGGAAAGTCTAAGACACGGAGACTTGAGCTGGGCGCTTCGCGGTTAGGTTGCTGTTATGGAGGAAGACGCGGGGCAAGGGGTGTCAGGTGTCTGTGCAGGCTCGACTTCTCATGGGATTCCTTCCTCAGTGGAGGGTAGGTCGTTGGGTTGAACAGGCTGTGCACTGTGACTTCCGTTTCAAGACTGTCGTAGGTTATGGAGAAGACATCCCTAAGTGTGTGTGTGTGTGTGTGCACAAGGGAGAGCCGGAGTGTGGTGGTGGCTGGCACCGGGCACGGCTCACCAGCGGGCACCGGTGCTTTGACCCCGGTGATGAGGCGTGAGTTCCCAGGCCCTCTGCATGTGGTCGGCGGAGCACGTCCTGAGAACCACGGCAGGTGCCTGCCTGCCTGCAGGCTGCGGGCACAGCCGTGACCCGCGTTGAAGGAACCTGTCACAGCTGCTCACGGCTCCTGTCTGCTTTTCCCTCCCGTGGGACTGACTCACGCCGGAGAGTTAAGTCCGAGCGTTAAAAGCGACCCTCCCAGGAAGGGAAGGGAAATCCCAGAATCCGTGCTTCCGAAGCGCGGAGTTTATAGTCCGAAGTTCGCCAGGACAGTTTCGGGGATGGGGGAGGGAAGACGGGGAGGGGGGCTCTTTAGGCACAAACAAAACAAAGCGTTAAAGGATTTAAAGAAAATCCTGGCGCTTATGAGAGTTTTCAGTTCCACCCAGATCTCTGGAGCGGTTCTCCGTGATGCGTAACCCAGCACCTCGCTGCCACAGGCCCCCTCCTCGCCTCCCCTCTGTCGCGGGAGAGGTGCTGACGCCACGCCGTGCTAATCGGGTAGAACGGCACGTCGGCGCCCGTGTCCGTGAAGGACAGCCAGCGGCAGAGCCGGGTTGCGATGAATTCCTGAGTGTCAGATTTTTCAGACAGCGAAATCTTCCAGCAATTTGGAACGCTTTCTTCGTACCGCCTTCCTGTGGAAACGGACTTGGAACGTGCCCATCTCGGGTCCACGCAGTAGTAACCGTGATTTTTTTTTCCTTTAATTCAACTCCCAGGTTCGGTGAAGGCTGCACAGTGAAGGTCTGGCTCCGCGAGGAGGCAAGTCAGAATGAACACGCTGCCGTTTGTGACTGCTTGACGCTCTGTTTCCCAGGATTGCAGTTTAAGGTAGCGCTAGGACTGGACGCTCCGTCTCTGTCTTCAGCTAAAAAGATCTTACAAATGCATCTGTCTTTTCCTTGCTTTAATTCTTTCATTTTAAATTTATTTTTATTTATTTATTGTATGTATTTTGGGGGGGAGGGAGGAAAGCGGGTTTATTTATTTATTCTTGAACCCAGGACCTTGTGCGTGCTAAGCATGTGGTCGACCAGTGAGCTACACCCTCCCCCGCTCCTTGTTTTAATTCTGTGCTATCAGAAGATGTTGCCTATTGGCTTGGCCTCATGGCAAAGTACAGGCCACATCTCCCCCCAAAATTGCCAGGACGGTGGCTGTCCCTCGATCTCCCTGAAGGTGACAAGCCTGCTTGGCCACCTGCTGGCTAGTTACTCAACCCACCGTTTTCTGGGGACCCAACTCCATCACCCACGACTCCACTGTGGTCAGGATGGAAGAGGACGAAATTAGATTTCTCCTGTGTCTTTGCTGGGGGGTTGTAAGTGGGTGGTTCCAGTGTTATTTCTCAAGATGTGCCCCACGCCTGAGATTGTCACCTTCCACAAACTTGATGCAACGTGGGGTCCCTGAGCCAGCCACGTCTCCATCACCTGGGAGTGGGTTAGACCTGCAGAATCCGAGTCCCAACCTGCTGAGTCCAAAGCCGCCCCTTAGCCAGGTGACCCAGGGCTTCCTGTGCACGTTCACGTCCCAGGAGCACCGTCTGCAGATCTCCCGTGATTCTAGCTTGTCGTGGCTTCTGACAGTTGTAGTCCTTCCTGAGAATGGTGATTGCCTGTCTCTTTGAACATCCACCATTGAGTAAAATCCTACCGGGTCAGAAGTAGGCTGTCCAAGCCACAGGTGTTCAGGCTCAAGGACCACCCTGAACGACCCTATGGAACAGTCCCTGGCATCTCCATTTGCACCTGTGACAGTGAGGCTTGGGACAGTTAAATATCTTTCCAGCTAATGGTGAGCACGGCTGGGAGCCGGAGCGTCAAGTCCAGACACCTCCTGCATTTCTCTTATGCCACGCAACCCCCCACTCCCAGCTGTCCCCGGGCACTTCGCGCCCCTCTGTGAGGTCTCCCCCGTGCTTGTCGAAAGGCGTTGGCATCAAGGGCTAGAAGGACAGCTGCCCCCCGGGGGCACCTCTTCTCCTGTCTGCCTCCTTCCTGGTGACTTGCAGTCAACGTGCATTCCTTGGGGACTCACAACAGACACGCACACACTTAGTTTGTATTTATGTGTGGTTTGAAAAATAATTTATTTGGCCGTTAAATAGAAGGTGATCCGTTTTCTTTGGCAATTGCTTACTCACATGATGCAAAACATTTTTTTTTCCTTTTAGGGGCAGCGCCATAATCTATTGGAATACGATGTGCCAAAAAGACGGGGCTGTCTGGCTGACCTGTTCAAAGTTCTAGAGAACCATAAAAACGTCTTGAAGATCAGACATTACTCCATCACCCAAACCAGTTTGGAGCAGGTAGGGGACCTTGAAGGAGTCAGCGAGCCACGTTTCGCTATGTTGTTGAGACCGACTCCAGACTGCTTCTTGGGGTCGCCGTTTCTTTTACTGATCATTGTTTAATTTCACAAAGTTTTGATGCAGACGGGGAGCACGAGGAGGTCTGTTTATTGTGTGCGCTCCACGCAGCGGGGCTCCCATCCGTTCGTAGTCCCACTGGGCGTTCGGGTGAGGAGGGAAGTCGGGCCCCGTGAGGCTTCCTCACGTTACCCACCACCCCCGGAACGATTTAAGGGCCCCCACTGTCACGGAGGGATAGCCGACTTGGGGAAGAAAAGCGCCTGGTTTCCTGGGGGGTACCGGAAGGCGAAATGCAATCCAACATTCAGTCTAAAGCCATGCTTAAGGCGTTGAGAATTCACTGGCCATTTATTAATTGTCCGGGAAGGTTTATCATTCCTCGAGTTGGAGCTCGGAAGACTTCCTGTGGATGCTGATTTAGGAGAGGACAGTATGAACGAATGACTTGTGATTTTTAGGGAAACATTGGGCAGTGTCTGCAACGAAGTCCCTTATAAAAGTCGAGAGCAGATAGCTGAGTTTTCTTACAAGGCAACAACTCTCTCCATCATTTCTCTCAGGTTTTTATTAATTTTGCCACCGAGCAGCAGCAAACTCCGCCACCTTCTCCGGATCCAGCCTCTGACCGCGACCGCCCGCAGCACCTGCCCATCTAAACACTGTGCTGTCCTTTGTTGTAATTAATTCTCCGAGATGAAAGGGGTGTGAGGCATCGGAGGACACGCGGCGGGCAGTCAACTTTCCTGCTCTCCTTCATTTTCTACCTGGAAACTCTTTGTTAATTAATTACCGACAAGCTGGAAAGCCGTCCTTCTCTGCAGATTTTCGGGGAGCTGCTCCGACACATTGCCTCTGTCTGCCAAGCCGGGGTGGGGACCAGGCTCGTGAGACACGGCGTGAACCAACGGACAGAGGTCAGGCTGGGACGTCCTGAAGCTGGAAAGGCTGTCGGGGGCTGGCCATGCCGAATAGCTCACTCTCCTCTTAAGGAGACTGAAGCCCCCGAGGTTAAAACTTTTCCTAACGTATTGCATTAGGAATAGTACTATGTCTGTAATCTTTTTACCAAATCACATTTCCACGTGTCTGAATAACAGTTCACATTTCAATGAGTTAAAAAGCACGCTTTGCTTAATCCTGGATGGCATTAGATGGGATGATATTTAAAAATGCCATTTTTTTCCTACAAAAGATGCTTTTTTTAAAAAAAAATAAGTTTTTCAGTCGAAACTGTAGCAAAATTAAATAAATCGAACTGGGTACTCTGTGTCATTCATAAAAAGTTTTACTAGAATTTCACAGATTGTATGTTTAACGCAATATAGAAATACAACGTGTAGATATGTTTTCCTTTTTATTCATTTGGATGAATGGTTACTGTTCTTAAAATTATTCGGAGCCAGTGGGTTTTGGTGTGTTTCCATATCAGGGGCACCAGCATCTCCTGGGAGCGGGCTGGACAGAGTCCCAGACTCCGGGGTGGGAGGTCCGCAGTCTGGGTGCCACAAGGCCCCCACGCTGGTTTCTGATGCCCAGCACCTGTCTGTGTCTGCTGCTCAAAAGAGCTTCCAGTCAGACATTTCTGAGTTGAAACATTTCTCAGCCTTCTTTGAATAACGTTTTTTTCTGCCCCCCCCCATGGAGGGCTGCACTGAATTCATTTTAAAATTTAACTTTACTCACTGAAGTTTCTGAGTTAACAGTAGCTTGCGATCAGAGGCAAACGCTTTCTTGTGACGTTTCTTCGCTAATGTCAGGTTTCATTCGGCTGTATCTCTCCCGGACGTCACCCTGCGTTAGAGATGCTTTTAAACGGTCAGGAGGAAGGCTGGAATCACAGATGGTTTGACTGAACGATTCTGATTCACCCGGATGATGTGAATTATGCTTTCTTAAAGACGTTCCAATTCAGGCTTTTCTGATTTTTTTTCTGCCCCAATTCTAAGATCGTCTCATTGTCAAAATGGAAGATGTAATCTTTTGCTGGTGTCGAATCAATAAAGAAAATTTGTGAAACGCGAACACGTTTCTGCCGCAGTGGATACATGAGATGTGTTTTAACCGGGCCTGATTCTCGGAAAGGCACTGTGTTCTTGCCGGAGTATCTCCTGGCATCTTTAGGGATTTAACTGAACGTTGGTGAGGAGGAAATGAAACCACGCTAGATCTTTTAAAGCTTCAGAAGCTTAAGATTTAATTGAGTTTTGCTCTGCTATGTTCTGCTCTTAAAAATTCTCTCCTTGTCTTTGAGCTGCTGTGCGCTTGAAGCCTGTGCGTCGAGGTGTGCCTCTGAGCGACAAACAGGCAGAGACAGAGAAACCCAAGGTGCTGCAACGCCATGTCCCAGAAGAGCGGAGACAAAAAGGTCAAGCCTCATGTTAACGCTGACAATGTCGTTGCATTTACAAGTCACGCAGATGGCGTGTGCCTTTGGAGTTCAACATTTGTCTTAAGACCCGTGGGCTTAAGGTCACACAACTGAGACTTTAAACAACCTGCCTCTTTCTGGAAGTGTTCTGAGTGGAGAACTTTATAAAGCAGACACAGCAGTGAGAATTCCTCTGCTACTAACCTGGCTTTCATTATGTAGTTTATAACAGACGATGTATTGAAGCCGTCACGCAAAATCAAGAGTGCAAAAAGCCAACAAGATGCATATGTTTGGACCGGCAAGGAGTGAGGGCCTTATGCTTAGGGTTAGCTTGGTTGAGGGGGTATGGATTGAAAAATAGCTCAACATGGTCCCTCCCGACCATCACATGAGATGCAGGCACCACACACCCCCTCCCCCACTACGTGGGGTCCTTGAGTTTGACATGAACACTTCAGCTTCATCCCACATTCTCCTACCCAAGGCGGGTGGGGTGTATAGACATTTTAAATCTCCAAACAGGTTTGACCGTGTTTTCCACTTCGGCTGCTTCGATCTGTGGTTTTGGGTGTGGCGTGGGTACGGTATGTTTCAACGGATTTCCACACATTTGTTTAGTTCAGAGCCCTTTCGGGCAGACACGTGTGTGCGCGATCATTCTTTCGGTTAATGACACTGAGCCCGTTCTAAGCACGTGGATGGATGGTGGGGACTGGAAACGGGGTGGCAGATGCCAGCGAAAAAGCCACAGCCTTTGTCCCTGAGAAGCAGGCAGGCAGACGGGGTGGGGAGGTGAGGTCCGCAGGCAGGAGCACACCCTGCTCTCTAACCGAGGGCGACTTCGTGGAATCCTTACCATCCGGATGGGCCTGTACGGATAGAGGATCGGAAAAGGGTATTTGTGGGTTTTAAGGGAATATAAGAGCAGATCAGCAATATTCACGATGTTTGCCTGTTACTCATGAGGAAGCTGATGTAATGGTTCCTGAGACATCAGGGAACCAGCTCTGTCATCTACAGTTTCCTTCATACTCCAAGGTGGTCATGGAGCCCTGGCCAGCACAATGTGCACAGCAGCAACAACAGATAAATTAAAACAGTTACCCTAGGATCCAGCAATCCCACTCCTGGGCATATATCAGGAGAGAATTCTAATTTGAAAAGATACATGCACCCCAATGTTCACAGCAGCACTATTTACAACAGCCAAGACATGGAAATGACATAAATGTCCATTGACAGATGACTGGATAAAGGAGCTATGGTATATGTATACAATGGAATACTACTCAGCCATAAAAAAGGATAAAATAACGCCAGTAGCAGCAACATGGATGGACCTGGAGAATGTCATTCTAAGTGAAGTAAGCCAGAGAGAGAAAGAAAAATACCATATGAGATCACTTATATGTGGAAAAAAAAAAGACACCAATGAACTTATTCACAAAACAGAGATAGACTCACAGACATAGAAAACAAACTGATGGTTACCAGGGTGGGAAAAGGGGTGGGGAGGGATAAATTGGGAATTCGGTATTTGCAGACACACATTACTGTATATAAAAGAGATAAACAAAAAGATCCTACTGCACAGCACAGAGAACTATAGTCAATGTCTTGTAGTCACTTATGGTGAAAAAGAATATGAAAAAGTATATTTACATATGTGTAAGTGAATCACTTGTTGTACACCAGAAATTAACACACTGTAATTTGACGATATATCAATAAAACAAAAAGATAAATTGGATTAAGGGGGGGAAAAGCACACCGTTTAAAGAGATCTCCTGGCAGTCCAGCCGACATACTTAGGATTGGATGACGTTGGCCAGATAATCACGTGGCTGTAACTTAGCTGCGAACATCCGGGCAATACAGTTTTAGCTGTGGCCGTAAAATGAAACGAGGGCTTTGATTCTACGCGAGAACAAAGGAGATGTGGGCTAGACAGCCAGTGATTTCTACTACAGGAGCACGTAAGGTTTGTGGCCATTTCCCACGAGGACAGAATGAAAGCAATTTTGGGAGCAAGTTGCGTAAACTAGGTGATGTCAGATCACGTGACTGCCTTCGAGCCATCCAGGTCCTAACAGTATTGCAGCATTTAGGATCGGAGCAGTGTGTCAACGTCTGTAGATCACAGTCCATCTGTATCTGTAAACATTCTTGTCAAAGTGAGTGAAGGAAAAGAATGCATTTTATGGATGTTTTCCATTTGGGCTAAATAAATAGCATTGCCATCGCCTCCCAGCGAGAATCCCTACAGAGAGCTTTAATGCACACGTTCCTCCTGCTGGAGAGGGTTCCCAGCTGCTTCAGGAAGCCAAAAGTGTATTTCTTAATTATTTGTTATTGCTTGTCATTGCCAAGAAGGCGTTTCACTGTCTTATCAGTAAATGGATCACATTTTTCTTTACATGAAAATGTTTTAAGGAAAAAAAAATGAGTCTCCTGAGTTAAGTGCACATCTCGAACCCAGCAAAGTTCACTGGCTTTGAAACACATCTAGAAATTTCACGAGCGGATCTTTCTTGCAAGGAGAAGGCACCGTTTTGAATACCGTGTTTGCCGGGGCATTTGTGTCCCACAAAGCCGCGGTCAGTGAGTTCCATGTGCTGCGACATCGTGGTGGGGTATTTAGTTTGTGGGTCGCGAGGCAGCGCGTCGGGGGAAGGTCGCTGGCTGGACGTCAGCTGGTCTGATCCGCCATCCAGCCCGAGTGTGACTGCCTCCCTCCCATATTTTGTTTCCTTGGGCTCTGTTTCCCTCACTTTGAGGATCGTGATGCCATCTTTAAGAAGCCTAATTGAGTCGGCAAATCACAGGGAGAAACAGCAGGAGACAATATTAGCAAATGTAATGGGGCGTATCTACAGATAGAAATAAAAACCCAGAGGAGAGTAATGTGAAAAACTCTGCGAAATACTTGAAAACAGATGAAGTAGGGGGTATATCTTAGGGAACAGCGAGGGATCAGGATTCCTTCCGGAAAATAGTAGCCACACCAGAAAATGAACGTTGTCCAACGTTGTCCCTGGTGTAACCTGCCATGAATATCCTGCAAGACAGCAGACTCAGAGACACATATTTCAGATGTACAATTTGATGAATTTCAATAGATGTCTACACCCATGAAACCACCACCACAATCAAGACAGCTCACATTTCCATCCCTCCCCAACAGGTACAATTGTTGAACTCCCAATTTATCCCTTTCTGCCCCCATTACCTCATGGTAGCCATAAGTTTGTTCTCCACGTCTGTGAGTCTGTTTCTGTTTTGTAAATAAGTTCATTTGTGTCATATTTTTTAGATTCCACATGTAAGTGATATCATATGATATTTATCTTTCTCTTTCTGGCTTACTTCACTCAGTATGACCATCTCCAGGTCCCTCCATGTTGCTGCAAATGGCATTATGTTATCCTTTTTTATGGCTGAGTAGTATTCCATTGTATACATACACCACAACTTCTTTATCCAGTCACCTGTCGATGGACATTTAGGTTGTTTCCATGTCTTGGCTGTTGTAAATACTGCTGCTGTGAACACTGGGGTGCATTGTTGAATTAAGAGTTTCCTCCAGATAGATTACCCAGGAATGGGATTGCTGGGTCATAGGGTGAGTCTATTTTTAGTTTTTTAAGTTGAAGAAGAGACACATTTTGACTGTCAGTGATACATATGTTAGTTTTTCCTTCCTTTTTATTGAGATGCAATTGCTGTATAACATTGTATAAATTTCAGGCGTAAGCATGTGACTCCTTTGAAGGAAAAGTGACAGGTGCTTTGAGGTCAGTGGGATGTAACCTAGTGGAGTTGAAGAGGGGAGGCTGTCTGAAGGGTGGGCGATGACAGCTGAGACTTGAAGGTTGAGGACTCCACCGTGGAGCGTTTGGCAAAGACAGGGTTCTGCGATATGTTAAGCCAGGAAGAACAAGTGCCAATGAGACTGAGAGCAAACCCCGCCAAATGACACGTACAGAGCATGAGCGTGCTATTGGTTATACCGTCTCTGAGCTCCTGGATTTCAAGAAAGCCTTATGGGTCAGTCTTATCATTGGTTTGCAGATGAGCGGGAGAAATGAACAAACGTGAGCTTCTGGATGCTAAAAACTTTGCAGCCATAACTTATCACAAAAGTTAAGTGCTGAATTATGGACTCTAACGTGTTGAATCCAGGTGATTCAGAAACAGAGCCTCTGTACTTGGCCTGCTTCTACTCAAGATGCTTTAGAAATATCTAAACACCCTCTGCCCTGCATGTAAGACCGCATGGAGTCTGCAGAACGTGTTCCAATGACATGGTCGGGCCCCGAAGACCATGCCTGGCTCAGAGCCTGCCCACCGCCAGGGGACCTAGTGTGTCCGAGTTATCACCCCTGTGATGGGCTGTGTCCCTCCACACAGCTTGTTACCAAGTCCAGGCTCATTCTGCTCACTGCACGACAGGCTACTACGTCAGGAGACGCGGTGTTGGGGCAAGGAATAGTGGCTTTATTTGGAAAGCCAGCAGACCGAGAAGATGGGGGCTAACGTCCTGGAGGACCATCTTCCCCGAGTCAGAATTCAGGCTCCTTTTATGCTAAAAGGGGAGGGGGTGTGGTTGGTTGTTGCAAACTCCCTGCTGCAGGAATCCTT